GTTTTATGCGTAATGCACGTGCAGTTCTGCCAACGCATTGCTTGTTTTATGCGCAATTCACGTGCGGTTCTGCCAACGCGCTGCGTGTTTTATGCGCAATTCACATGCGGTTCTGCCAATGCATTGCTTGTTTTATGCGCAATTCACATGCAGTTCTGCGTACGCGCTGCGTGTTTTATGCGCAATTTACATGCAGTTCTGCATACGCGCTGCGTGTTTTATGCGCAATTCACATGCAGTTCTGCGAACACGCTGCGTGTTTTATGTGCAATTCACATGCAGTTCTGCCAACGCGCTGCTTGTTTTATGCGCAATTCACGTGCGGTTCTGCCAACGCATTGCTTGTTTTATGCGCAATTCACGTGCGGTTCTGCCGTGCGCAATTCATGTGCGATTCTGCCAACGCGCTGCGTGGTTTATGCGCAATTCACATGCGGTTCTGCCAACGCGCTGCGTGTTTTATGCGCAATTCACATGCGGTTCTGCCAATGCATTGCGTGTTTTATGCGCAATTCACATGCAGTTCTGCCAACGCGCTGCGTGTTTTATGCGCAATTCACGTGCAGTTCTGCCAACGCGCTGCATGTTTTATTTAGTTGTTAAGAATGGGTGAATTTTGGAAATGTTGCAGAGGTGACAGAGGCAAGATTTGGACAGTGGTTGGATGTGGGCTCAAAGGGAGAGGTTAGAGTCCAGGATCACACCTGGACACACATGATGTGTGCGGAACCGGAAGGGGTGAGCTGAGGAGTGGAGAAATAGATTTGATCATCTTTGGGGTGGTATTGGAAACCATGGGAGGTATTGATAGAGAGAACAGAAGGGGTCCAAGGGCAGTGCCTTGGGAGCAGAGAGTAGGTGACACTGAAATTGTGCTGAAATAAGTAGAAGATTCAGGAAAGAGCAGAGTCTTGGAGGCCGAGAGAATGGAATCTTCGGAGGAGGTGCAAATGGTCAACCATGTCAAAGACAGCAGTAATGTCTGAGTATGGAGTAGTGGCCATTGGTTTTGGTAATTAGTAAGGTTTTGGGCAGTTTCTATGGAGTGTTGTGGGTGGAAGTCTGATTGAAAGGAATTGAGAGGGTTGTAGCAATGAGGTGGTGGCTCAAACGATTGAAGATTATGCATTCTGGAAGCTTGGGCCTAAACAGGAGCAAAGGGATGGGTCTCAAGATATTTGAACAGGATTTGTAAGAATCAGTAAGGTCTGCCAAACCAGCTGTTGATAATGCCTGGTCTTATAATTACTCTTATAGAAGTAACATGAATGGTCCAGCTCACTTCTAGTCCATTCACATGGTGTTCAATTAAGCCCTGATGAAGGGGACATTTTTGGACCCCCGAAACGCATTTGACTGTTCCCTGACTTATATTGGAATATAGCTGTATCTGGACCTCTTAGCAGTAGTGTGGAGCTTCAATTTCCATTTTTGTTGGATGAAGGGTCAGACAGGTGGCAGGACTTCTGTATTTGGAACCCTATGTAGAGTCATTGCCTATTGTATTCAGCTTCTTCAGCTTTTAAATGAGATGTTGGTTTCTATGGGAAAATGTTCCCCTTTCAAATTTTCTTTTTTCTACAAAGCTATTGTCTATATCAACTGAAAGGTAACTTGCTCTAGTTCAGTCAAGCAGGATACCATTCAAACTCCAAACTGAAGAGCTCCTCTGGTCTCCCTTATTGCATTCCCCTTATGTTACAAATGGCAGAAACACACCAGCATTATCTTTATACCACTTGTAGGCAGGGCCGTGGATAAGGGGGTACCACCAGTCCTCCTGTACGGGGCCCAGGCAAACGGGGGGGCCCAGGCAACTGGGTGAATCGGATGTGGGCAGGGAGGGTGATCGGTACAGCCGGGGGGAAATTACTGGAACTGATCACCTGTATGCAGCTGTAAGCTGGCTTCTTATTTCCCTCCCGCTGGCTCTCAGCTGCTGCACAGCGAGCCATACAGGAAATCGGTTCCAGTAATTGCCCGCCTGCCACACCCATCACCCTCCCTGTGCACCATAAGTTTCCCCCCTGCTGCCCAGGTCCCCATGTGTGCCCACCCCTGCCAGTTTTCTCTCCTCTCCTTTCCACAGGCGACTGCAAGCATACAATACGATCCTTCAGAACGGAGAGTGGGGGAATGGACCAGTAAATATGTCATGTTTACTAGCTCCTTCCTGTTCTGAATGAACACAATGAGTGATCGGTAGTAATCACTGACTGTGTTCATTCATAACTGGAGCATAGTAAGATTTTTTTTTTTTTTGGGGTGGGGGGCCCTGTCAGGTTGGCTGTATGGGGCCCATGAATTCTAACAGCAGCCCTGGCCGTGCGTTTGGTTCCCGGGAGGGGAGAGAATGCACGCAAAGACCAAGGATTGATGTAAAGTGTATTCATGTAAGGTTCCAACAAGGTTGTAACCTAGTCTGTGTAACACGGCCAAACTGCCCAGCAGCATTTACAGAGAGCTTGCAGAGACTACCTCGAAACAATGTATGATGGCGGTCTGGCATCGAAGCGCTTGGATGCGGAAGGGCTCCTGGCTGGCGACACAAGCAAACAGTCCCTATCTTTTCCTATGCAAGAATCACTATCCTTTACCAGTGGGCTCCTGTCCCTGACTTAGCCACTTCGCAAATGAGCGCCAAATGAAGGGGGGCAGTGCTATTTAGCAGCATTGCCCACACTAAAGATGGCCACTCAGGTCATCCAGGGCAGCAACATCCAGCTAGACAACTGTTCTCCTGATAACCCCTATGGAGGCCTCAGAGGAATATGAGTTTCCCCCTGTCCTCTGTACCCTCTGCATACAACCGAACAGCGCCACCTGTGCAGGGAAGCCAAACTGCACCTGCCTACACACTTTCATGAATGAAGTATTTCGAACGGCTGGATTCACATGGTCTTAACTTATAAAACCGTGATTCTTGTGAGCTACTATGGTGCATTGTGTGCATAAAAAGATTACAAATCACATGTAAAGAGCAGCTGAGCTGCAGATCAAAGCAACAGGTGCAGGACTGATTCCTGCAGAACGAACAGCCGCTGGTGGGTGGAGACCTGCGAATGCGCAGCCGCTGGTGGAGACCTGCGAATGCGCAGCCGCTGGTGGAGACCTGCGAACGCACAGCCACTGGTGGAGAATTGCGAACGCAGAGCCGCTGGTGAAGACCTACGCCCATCCTGAGTAAAATGAAAAAGGAGTGAGGAGACCCCCTGGAGGAGAGTGGGATAAGTTCATCCATCCACCCAACTCCAGGAAAACAGATCTCAGGGAAACAATAAGACCCCCTGCTGGAAAAAAGGGGAAACAATCCATCCATCCATCCATTTGAGACAGGGATATATATATCCCACTCATCTTTAAGTCCATTTAAAGGGACACAGGCTCTTTCGACCTCACTGTTTGGTCATATAAATCAGGTGAAGGAGCACATGAGAAGTTTTTTTGTGTAGACTTTTTCATATAAAAATATATATTTTATATATATTTTTTTTTTTTCTTATATTTATATATATAATATTTATATATATATATATATATATATATATATATATTTATATTTATTTTTTAATTATTTTTTTATATAACCCTCACTAGTGGAAGTTATCACAATTAATCACGGAGTGATTGTGGGAACGTATTTGCAGCAGAATAACACATCAATAGTGTGGACTTATATACACTATTTCAAATTTATTATTAAGTTGCAAAACATATTGTATAAGTACACACATTTTTTTGTTTTTTCACAATTTTATTTTAGTGGAGTGCGGCACATTGATTTGTTTTGGACAGTGTATACACTTGCTGTCGTTTTTAACAATTACAAAAGACCCCCAGAAATGTTGTGAAGCTTGTAATGACCTGGAACTGGTGGTGCCTGGCAATGCTCCCCCTTTTCTCCTCCCTAGAAATATAGGGAATATTATTATTATTATACAGTATTTATATAGCGCCAACAGTTTGCTCAGCGCTGTACAATATAATGGGAGACAATACACGAGACAGTACAGTAACAATACGATTCAATACACGAAGGGTTTGAGGGCCCTGCTCCTTGGAGCTTACAATCTAGGAGGGGGGGGATAGTGGTACAGGAGGATATAGCTGTGGGGGATGGAGTGGTGGGAAGAGCGGAGGAGATCAGCAATTAGGTGAGGGCTGGGTAGGCTTCTCTGAAGAGATGGGTTTTCAGGATATCTCTCTGCAGATGGGATGACACTTGGACGCAGTGGTGCATTTCATTTTTGTACTGCCCCAGGCAGTGCAAAAATCGTCCGTGCTCCCCACTTGGACATTCAGACATCCTCCAGCAGGGCAAACAGACACTCTCCAGCAGCCTCCAGCCTGTCACGTCCTCCTCCGTTCCAGCACTCACCGCCCACCTCTCTTGGATCCAGGGGCGGACTGACCATTTGGAAACTTGGGCACTGCCCGTGGGCCCGGGTTTAGTAGGGGGCCCCATGAGATGTCCCTGGTACCTTTTTCATAGGCTTTTTTAAGTTTGGGAAGGACACAGGGGCCCCATGAGTTGTCAGTCCGCCCCTGCTTGGATCCCAGCTCTGCTTCCACTGCTCCCCAGTCACTGGCTGCCTCTGTGTCACTTCTGCCCCCCTGAAAAATGCCGCCCTAGGCCAACGCCTTGTGGCAAATATGCCCCTGCTTGGACATGCAAACACCATCTGATGTTTTTGGGTACCTTGCTTATTTAAGAAACACATGCTATCGTTTTTTTTTTTTTAATATATATAAATAAAATTTGGACTGTATAATGGCATTTTTGTGAGATTGTCTGTCTGTCCTATGACTAGTGAGTAACCGGAGAACTCATTCACTCTATTAGGTTTGTGGAACTATGTGGCCTTGGGCTTTCTAAACTCTGCACAAAGGTCTCTCCAGCAGCAGAGGAGAAAGGGTTACAGAGAATAGATTGTAGGTGGACCTCTCTGTGTTGGGAATAGGCGACACTCCTCCAGCATCAGTATAAAAATAGTCAGCCT